CCCAGTCCCTTATATCTCATCATCTTGCTCTTTCTATGTAGATTAACACTTTTGTTGTTAATTAAAGATTCAGTTACTTTGCTGTATTAATTAGCTTCCTATCATTACTGTTCAGAAGAACCTCTTAGCCACCAATCAGACTGTACTCTGAATGGATCTGTGTGTTTTTGTTTGTTCATCAGGCAGTGTGTTTGTCGACAAATTGCCATCAGTGGATCATTGCCGAGGATTCTCCCTGCAGAACAGCCCTCTTTGATGAACATTGAAGCATATGTAGTATGTATTAAAGTTACTTGCAAATTTTTACTGCTGAGCATCAATATTACATTTCTTCTTTTTTTTTTTTACATAATAAAAATAAAGGCAGTCAGACATGCCACTTCACTGCTGTGATGCCTTATTATTGGATTCAGTTCGGTCCATGTTTCTTTTTTTAATAATATTGAGGCAGTGTACACCTTAGCTGTACTGACTAATTGAAGTTAAATTTAGCTCACAACTGTACTATCACAACGCATTCTCACCCCAAGGCGTCACCTTTGACCATGCTTCAATATTTGACGTTTTAGGCGCTCTTTAGCATCACTTACATGACGCGATCCTACGGCGTCATCTAACTGACGCTAAAGGAAAGCGTCAGTTAGATGACGCGGTTAGGTTTAGGTCTGGGGTGAGGGTAGGGTACACGCGATCCTAGGGCGTCATCTAACTGACGCTAAAGGGCGCCTAAAGCGTCAGATATTGAAGCATGGTCAAAATGCTTCCCAAGGCGTCAGTTAGGTGACGCCTTGGTGGTGAGAATGGGCTGCCTATCAGAACACAGTTTCGTAATCAGCAGAATTTTTTTTTAAACTTCCCATATAACAATAGGTCTCTAACATTGTTTTGCGCCATTGCTTTGGCAAAGTATATGTCAAATGAACTAAAATAGAAAGGCTTTGTAAAGTGAGGTGTGCACTTTGCTCACCCAGTCACATTGTGATCCGGTGTTTGCCACGTCTCAGAACGGCTCAATTCACAGTGAATTAATACAGGGAACTCCATCTATGCATGTGCTGTGAGTTTAGCATGCATTGTTAGGAAAGTAGCGGCCACCAGATATGCATTATTTTCACATTTGCATAACTTCCAACGTTTTTGTAAGAAGATAATCAAAGCATTTCACTAATTTTTAATGAGACCTGTTTGTAAACCCGTTTTCACAGAAACAGTAATTTTCCACCAAAATAAAAACTCAACCGCAGTTTTCGTCAAAATAAAAAGTAAAATATTTACATTTATTCATTTAGCTGACGCTTTTATCCAAAGCAACTTACACGTTGCACGCCTCTGAAGCAAATAGGGGGTTAAGTGTCTTGCTCAGGGACACATTGGTGTCTCACAGTGGATTCGAACCCGGGTCTCTCACACCAAAGGCAAGTGTCTTATCCACTGCACCATCACTATTTTTTCTTTATTCTACAATTTTTATATTCTATAATTTTTATATTCTACAATTTTTATATTCTACTAAAAATTATAGAGTATAATTTTTATATTCTAATTGTTTGGCTTCCCTAAACACAAGTGAATTTAATGTAGACCGAGATCCTATATCACAGCAAAAAGAGGTTTGAGTTCCCTTTAAAGTTCTGGTGCAAGTCAATTCAGTGACTTTTTGTTGTTGTTTAGTTTACACACTGAACATGTACCAGATTGTGCATTGATTGTGTTGTACCTTGTTAATGCAAATGATGAAGAATTTATGGTGATATTGTCGAAAACCCACTTGGAACATTTCCAAACTTTGGAAGTACTGTACATGGTGAGATAAAGAGAAAGTGATACAAAGATTCTGAACATGATTTATAGAAAAGGTAATCCTGAATGCAGTGATGCCATTTGAAGTCCATATAACAATGAGTGTAATACCATGCCACTTACATAATTTCTCATCTGTGCAATAAGTGCACTTCAAAAGCATAACCCCATGATTTGTGACTCAAAAGCCTAAATTTATGAAAATTTCACTACAAATGTTTTATGATTACTATAAGTACAGCGTAAAGATCCATTTCATACATTTTTCAGCAATGGATAATGACTTGAGGTTACTGTCACATGTGGTGCTGAATGCATAACATGAAATGGATAGGATAGTAGAATACAGGTACTAACACAGCACTCACTCTGTGTTTGATAAAGCTACAGGGCATGTGTTCCATCAGCATGTGAGTGTACAATAATCTGCACAACATGGCCAAGGCAAATCTCGATTCTTCATTGTAGTGGTCTTGAGTGATGATGTGTGCAAGTTTCTGTATAGCTCATGCTCCTGTTAGTGTGCAAATACAGTATGTCAGAGCATGCAATAACATGGGGAGGGATGGATGAGAAAGTCAGAGGAGGTTCAAGGGAAAGGCAGAACAGGAAAAATAAAAGAAAGAAAACGATCATGTCCCCCTAGGCCTCTATTGACGAAACGGTCAGTGTTTGACCTGATGGAGGGAAAAGTAGTCTAAAAGGTTGACTGACAGTGTGAGGCAAGGTTAGAGACAGATGGTGAGAGAGAGGGATAAAGAGAGCAGAGGAGAAATACAAGAGGAGAATTAGAAAATGAGAATGGGGAGGAAAAACAAACAAAGATATTCACAAGGACACCTATGGAGAAAGTACTCCACACACATAGACAGTTAAAGGATGTTAGGCAAATTCAAGAGATGTTAGCATTTCAATTAATGCATAAGCAGAGTACTTGTTTCAACAAAAAATCATCTTGTAGAATGCTAATTTAATGTTATTAAACATGTATGTGTGTGTTTGCCTTGCAGCCAGCTAACAGGAATCCCCAGAACTCCCTTCTAGTCCAACCTGACATCCCTCACAATTTGTCTCTTCATGTCTCTGTCTCCAGTCTCCACCCTTTTTCCCGAGGAGGGAGAAAGCATTAGTCATTCATAGATTAATCTGTGAATGGGTTGTGATTTGTCACTGCACTTTACTTTTTAGCTGTATATTTAGTTTACCATTGTAAACGGCCCGCTTCATTACAGCTGTGCAGTGTGCTCAATAATGTTTGTAAATCTGCACATGCTGTTTATGGCCACTGTATTATTCATTTGAGGTTTAGTACTGGTCTGTCAAGTCTGCATGGTACAGTATTGCACATTTGCAGATCATTATTTTTCAGGGTTTTTTTCAAAACTTTTCTGAAGCCTCCCCAGCACTGAACATTTTAAATAAGAGAGACATCCCAAATCTCTGCTATACTTAATTCCGATGGGTTTTTTTTTTCTTTCCTTTTTTTTTTCTAGAGACCAAGCAATCTTAAACCTAACCCTAATTTTAACCCTAACCTAACCCTAACTGCCTAAAAATCAGGATTATCCTGACATGAACTGCAGCCAATTGAACATTTCAAATCACGCTTTAAAGGGGGTGTCAAAGGGCCCGACAATATATTACCTATAAGCATATGACTCCAAAGTCTAAATGCATTAACCTTAATTGTTTCCATTAAGAAGTAGTTTTCTTGTGGTTTTGAACACACAGTTCAAGAAGATCGAAATCCACAGGTTCTGCCCATGGATCTGGATGTGACGCATAACATGCAGTTGTTGCATGCTCCTGTCCATGTTACTGATTATTATTTTTTTAATCACAGATAGGCATTTAGATACAGTAGAGTATGTGTATGTTTGAGTAGATTTAAAGATTTCACTTGATTTTATACCCTGAAATAAATACCCTGTCTTTACCCATTTAGAACAACATGAATGTGCAATGGAAACATTTGGGACATTAATCATAAAATGTTCTCTGTAACATTATACTCATTATAACCTCAGCTAAAACAAACACAAAATACCCACCAATTCCCAAAAGAACAGTCACTTATACCATCAATAATTTACAATGCATGTATGGAGTCCAGCATGGACTGTTGTCAGCAAAATATCTCAATCAATTCCAGTTCACCACTGCAGTGTGTGTGCGTGTACGTCTTGAGAAAATCCTGGGAACTTCTTTGATTAAAAACTGTCTTGCAAATCACATATAAAAAGCCTAAAAAATAGATCACTTGAAGTTCATAGAAATTCTAGATGTAGCCTATTCTGTTACTTCTGTACAACATCTGAGCTTACTACCCAACAGGATATGGATAACAATTGGAAACCAAAATGACATGAACTAACCTAGATCCCTTTATCAGCTGCTAATGCAGGCACATTTACAAACTAAAGACAAACTAAAAATTGTGTGATGCTAATTTGACAACATAAAACCAAAGACAATATCTTATCAGATCCCTTCAGCCATTCTAAAAGAAGATCACTCTTATTTTATTCATACAAATACAGAGAAAACAGAAGGATTCAAATTCGTGGTTAACCTTTAAAATAACATTTGCAGAATGAATAAACATGGAGATGAATGGAGAATGAAATGAGGGGGACACACAGGTTGAATACTAACTGCGCTGGTTACTCTCTCACCCTCAGTTGATTGTGTAATGGTGTGGGTGTGTACTCAAGCCTTGAGTATTTATTGAGATGTGTTGGTTTTGATATTGCTTTTGATATGTGTTTTGTTTATCATTATGTTTGAATGTGTGTGTGTGTACGCTTCAATGGTTCTCTTTCCAGATTTTTCTCTTGTTCCAGTCATGCCGCTGGTAAATAGCCTATACATGGTCAAAACTGAAACTAGATTATAAATCACTACTGCCCATTAAAGTCCATTAATCACTACGAATCCACAGAGCAGCTGCATTTCGCATGACTGGCGCCCTTTTCTTCAGCTACCACCAGCATAAACGGGAAACAAAATAGCCACTTTCTGCCGCACGCATGATCTACGGGCGCGCTTATGCGGAGTGACAGGAACAAGCCGCACTCAACTCATTGTGCTACTCACTGTTCTCTCTGTATCCACACGCACACACAGATAGATGAGTAGCTATTGTGTCTCATTATAAAACTACATTCATTATGCGAAGTGTAAGCGAGCGGGTGACACACCTGATTTTTGCCCCGCTGTCCGTCTTCGAGTTCCGGTGAGCTGTTCATGATTCCCCATCGATCATTGAGCATTCTCCGGAGAAGCGCCAACACTAAACCGCCTGTCAGTCACAGGTGGTGGAAAAAACAAGACACCTTGTCGTTTTCCTTTTCAGTTATTCCATGGATAGACCAAAAAAAAAAAAAAAGGAAAAAATGGAGGGAAAATGGAAAAGGATCTGAGGAGAATGCGCGAGATCGAGAAGACACAGATCTTGCCTTTCTCCGGGACCACACTGACTAATTCTGGTTTAAAAGGGGCGGCGAAGACTCTCACAACACACACCGCAATAACGTACTTTATGAGATAACAATAATACTAATAATTGATAAATAAACTCCAATATTTCCACAAAGTTGTTTTTCTTTCCTCCAGGGGTGTTAAATAAAGTCCTCAGATATTCCACACGAAGTAGCAAAAACGGGCGCGAGTCTCGCGCGTGTATATCCAATGCCAGTGCCACTCAAAAGGCAAAACTACAGAATGTTCTGTCATAAAACGTGTTCAGTCGAGTGATACAACTTTGTATTCCTGAGCCGGATGAACGTGGCGGAAAATATGTTTAATAAGCACAGCGCGCACGGGTGGTTCGTTTCCAAAGCTGTCCTAGTGTAGAGGACAGAGGGCGAGCTTTTTCACAAGACTAGCGCAGATTAACGGAGTTCCTACTAGTGAGTTAAACTCCTCGCTCTCTTCGAGCGTCAGAGCCTGTCCGTTAAGCGCGCTCCCGCTGCGCGCTCATTTTTTTTTTTTCTTAGCACATTTACTGTCGGCATTTAGGCTAGATGACTTCTCCAAACCTTCTAGGTCAAGAAACTACTATTTCGAAATTTGCAGCTCAACGTGCAATAAGGAGACTGGGTGAGCGTCAGAACTAGGCTAAAAATTAATGGGCTTTATGCACAGCTGAACTTCAGCCAGCTCCGTGTTTCCTGCTGCCATTATTGGCCAAATTGATTAATGCAGGTGTGCCTGACCTCAGTAGTCACGGCAACAATAATCAGACACACCTGAATTAATCAATTTGGCCAATAATGGTAGGAAACAAGGAGCTGGCTGAAGTTCAGGAAGTAGTGCAGCTGTGCATAAAGCCAATACAATAGGCAAATACGTGTATTAAATATAAATGTGTGTAGTTTAACTGCAACCCTCATCGAATTCGCAGTGATAGCCTAAAATATTTTAAGCCAACAGAAACCTTTACAAATTTGCAGTCCCCTGGCAATACAGGACACCAAACATATGGTGACTGAGTGCAACGTAACTCATCAGTGATGGTGAGATATTTTGCTAAATAAAATTATCCTGTTTGAAGAATTGCGCAACAACTTTATTATTTATTTTTCCATCTGTATCATCTTGGTGAGCTTTAATGAGGTTTCAAGCATATGCAGTAAGGTGAATTTAGAAGTTCTCTCAAGATATTGTGGAATTGAAAAGAGTGGAGCAGAGAAAGACAAGCAGTGATTTTCCCCCACTGTTTCACAGGATTGGTTGGGAATGAAGCTATATCTGCAGCAGTAAAGAGAGTGAGCAAAGTGGAGAGAGAAGGAAATAATCCTTTTATTGATTCGCTCTCACATCACATGCTCTCCCCTTCTCTGCAATTCAGCATCTCTATCTCTCTCGTCACACACACACACAGGCAGGAGAGCTTGGCACATAAAAGGTGACATTCACTGATGGAGTAATTAGTGGCTAGCGAATCACATGTGGTCAGTGATGCTGATGATGAAGATGATGTACATGCTAATGATGATGTGAAAATAGTTAAACCTTTATTAATACTATACTGATTATTCTTACAAATATCTGAATGGAGTAGTTGGTCTGCTGAACATCAAATAAGACTAAGGTTTTGCTTTTAAAAGTCAAACATTTCTGCCTCTCATAGAAAACAAGTGATGGATAAAAGTGGATATTTGTCAGAATTAGTTGGTAAACTTACATCCATTCCACTCAAAACGTTGGGGTAAGTACTTTCTGTTTTAAAGAAATGATGCATTTAACTGATCATAGTAACAGTAAGTAAAAAAACAGTACAGTAAAAAATGTCTTTACTGTAACACTGATCAAAGTTACAGTAAAGACATTTATATTTTTCAAAAAGATGCTCATATATCATATATGGTCATACTTCCTGGTTCTGGTAACAACTCGAGCTGCTGCGTTTGTGGTTTGTTTATTAAGCGTGCAAGGCAACCACCCAGTAGAGCATTACAATAATCAGTCTTGATGTCAACGCATGAACTAATTGTTCCTCATTTCAATGAGAGCATATGACGGAATTCAGAAATATTTTTAAGATGGAAAAATGTGTTTTTACAGATACTAGACACGTGAATTTCAAATGAGAGATTGGCATCAAAGAGCACACCCAGGTTCCTAACCAAGGACGAAGACTTAACAGAGCAGCAATCAAGTACAAGGCAGCCATCAAATGTCATATGATATTGAGTCTTTGAGCTATTATTTTGGCATTGAGTCAAAAATATGTAATTACACAAGTTGTTCTTTGAGTAAAGATAAGAGTTTGACTTGAAATAATAATTTTCTGTCTAAAGTTGCTCTATTAGAAATGATAAACAGGTCTTTAATGTTATTTGCAGGAAAGGTTGAACTGTTTGAACAGCCCATTCTCACTCCCAAGGCGTCACCTAACTGACGCCTTGGGAAGCATTTGACCATGCTTCAATATCTGACGCTTTAGGCGCCCTTTAGCGTCAGTTAGATGGCGCCCTAGGATCGCGTGTACCCTACAGCCACCCCATACCTAAACCTAACCGCGATGACGTCGTAGGATCGCGTCATGTAAGTGACGCTAAAGGGCGCCTAAAACGTCAAATATTGAAGCATGGTCAAAGGTGACGCCTTGGGGTGAGAATGTGTTGCGAATGGTTTGAAATCCGCTAATGTCAGACCAATTCAGTTCTACATCATTCCAACTATTCACAATTCTCCCAGCTTGATTGTTTCTGTCACTGTGATTCTGTCATTCTTGTATTTCTGTCAGTGCAGGACATCGGTGAGAGGTTTGTAATTATCTGCGACGCTCCCTTGAGCTCTGCTCTGGAACTTCCTGGTGTTCCGGTTCTGTTCTCCATGTCTGGCATTCACAAAAGGCCAGAGGGAACAGGGGGATAGAACCACACTGGAAGCTGCCACCGTAAATAACAGGCATCCGTGTCCCCATCGGCTAAATCAGGATTTGTTACCCAGCTTCAAACCATAAGGGAGCTAGAATGACCTTCTAGTATCTAACGTGGCTTTGTCTGTATTTTCACCCTTGTATTTTTACTGTTATGTCCACCATTAATCTTCATTCTACTTTATTCCTACTCTTTTTTTCTTCTCATAAATTTAGCTCACTCACTTAGTGCCTCATATAGCTTCACAAGTACAGTTCAAGCAAGATATCATCAGTTTGGAGGGACACGTTTAGCCATAATGAATCATAACTTTTGAATCCGCGCGACAGCCTTTCACCCTTTCAGCCCACTTTTCATCGTTCTACTCAGTCGTCTCTGATCGTAACTCAAATGTATAACAAGCTGACCTTTTGAAAGCATAACAACTATATTTTAAATTCATGGCATTCTTCACATTCTACAACCCCCTTTGAAAGCTGTAGAGGAACAGACTTTTTTCATTGCTGCAGGGAAAAATGATTGAGAATGAAACAACAGAGAAGATTCATACATGCGCTTATTTTTTTTATTAATTTATTAATTTTTATTTCATTAATCCCACCCCCAACTCCTGCTGATTTCATTTTGCTCAGAAGACCTTGCCCTCTTCCGATCTCAACAGGAGCAGAACTGACCACTGTTCTCAAAAAAAAAAAAAAAAAAACAACAACAAAAAAAAAAACATCTTGTTTAAATGGAACATACTGGGAAACATCAGTAGTATGTTGAAAAACACTATGATATTAAAGAGACGAAGCAGACAGGTTCAGATCATCACATCCACTCCAGCATAAATGACAAATAAATCCATTTGATTTCACTTTACAAATTCGCTTCCACAAATTCAGTGGTTCAAATTCAACAGAAAATTCAACATTTGACATCCGGAAATAGCAGGAATATCAGTAGATTGCCAATCTCCATAGCTGTTAGTTGACCTCACCAGCAGTGGGTGCAAGTGGCTGTTGACGAAGAGTAGCCTTGAACAACGGGTGAGAGAGTCATTCATTCATAAAAACAGATTTACTATCATGGAGCAGTTGGTAAATTGTCACGATTAAATCCAATGAAGACGATGATAATTGAAAGTAGGCTTGCTACGATAGTTAGTGTACCAGTGTTCAGAAGCAACCGGTTAGCCATCTCTTAGCCACCGCGGCATCGCCCCTCCACTGTCGATTTGATTTTGTCGCAACACTGTCACAACATCTTCACTGCTGGTAAATTAACTTTAAAACTTTCTAACTGACGCTAAAGGGCGCCTAAAGCGTCAGATATTGAAGCATGTCCAAATGCTTCCCAAGGCGTCAGTTAAGTGACGCCTTGGGGGTGAGAATGGGCTGAACATTATTAAATCAGTAAAGATAAACATTATGATATTATCTGCTGATATCATACTCATCCCTCTCTGTTGGTAGACAGTGCACTGATGTTCTCCACCTATTCCAACCTTTCTCCTGTAATATGAAATGACTCCAGAAGTCTACGGTATAAACCTACAGATTATGAATATCTTTCTTTATTAACAGAACCTAAAGCTTGTTGGATTGCTGATCTCTTATCTCTCAATACTACCGTTGTGCCGTTTTATAACCCACTTATTAGCCATCTTCCTCATCATCTTTCTTTTCATCTCAACCCGTTACACATGTACATATTACATTTAACAGTAACAGTGTACATAACAGTTTAACATTTTAGTGCAATGTACCAAACTATTTTTTTTTAAATCACCATTACTGCAATAACAAGCTATGGTATGAGATTCATCACTTGCTCATGAAAAAAAAAATAAATAAATACAAGCATCATTAATATAATGCTTTTTGACTTTGACAAAAGCTTATCTAAAGCTTAAGCAATTGTTTTCACTACAGTTTCCCCATTTTGTTCAGATTTGATGATGCATGGCACTTTACCATCAAATTAAATGTAGCAGAAAAAACTATTTACTATTTACTATTTAGCTTTGTTTGAAAACACTTTGTTGCTAAGAAACAGTCATCTGAGCAGTTCAGTCTTTCTCTCTTTGAATGAATAAAAGTTATCTTACGAGAGGTTCTGTCGTATTGTGTAAGCTAGCTTACGCTATGGGAAAGATTAATCTTTTCTGAGAAGTTGAAGCCAAAAAATTATCCTTTAATTTTGTATCCATTCAAAATCTGCAGCATCTGCAGCAGACCATGAGCTGGCTAGCTAGCAGCTCATTGGTTCGCTCAGGTAGAACTGCTATAGCCTATGAGGGAACTCGGTTGAACTCGCGGCCAATAAGAAGCTGACACGCTCTCATTGCGTCAAAGCCCGCCAAAACGGTGTGGCCCGAGTCTATAAATAGGCGAGTTTCCCGCTGTTTCCGATTTTCATCAATTCATCGAGGCTATACGCACCTGCTGAGATTGTGCACTACACGCGCTGCCGCATTCAGACGCTCTGAGCAGCTTTTCGTTTCGTTCGGTGGGCGCACTAAAGGTCTGGCCCCCTCGAAACAGACAGTATCCAGATGGATAGTGG